CGCATAAGTACATCTTTGTTGCCAAGCTCCGAGTTCCACGAACTTTTGTTGAAGATGGCCGAGGAGTTTGGGTGGAGTATGATAACGGGGAGCTGGAGGAGGGCAAATACGAGGAGAAGGATGATGGATTAGCTGTGGATGTTGGGTCAGAAAAGGAGGCAATTCGCCCAGAGCCAGCAGAGGACGAGGACAAAGACCAAGAAGATGAGCCTGCTAAGAAAAAGGATCCTGAAGAAGACCTAGATCTCGCAGCTCCAGACTTGGTGAACCTGATCTTCGCTGCAGGCATCAAGGACGAGAAGGCCCCAACGGTGCTAGAGGCGATCCAGGACGTAATCCTCTATTGCCAAGCTCTCAACATACCAGTTCTTCGCTTTCACTCGGATCGTGGTATGGAGTTTCAAGCCAAAGCGTCCAAACAATGGCTGAAGAATCAAGGAATCAGAGTAACTACGTCTGAAGCAGGTGATCATCGTACAAATGGTGCAGCAGAGTCAACAGTGAGATGGATAAAGCAGAGAGCGCGTACACTGCTCTTGTCTTCCAAGCTGCCCCAGCAGCTGTGGCCTATGGCGGTGTCTACGGCGGCTACAATGCAGCGGTCTGACGTGCTGGGATTTGAGCCGTTGCTGGCAGCTCCATTTGGGGCAAAGGTCACTGTGCGGAAGCGACAAATGGAAGGACCTAAGCTTGACGATCTGGCTCCAAGATGGGTTACAGGGACGTATGTTGGAAGGTCAGATAGTCTACATAAAGGGCATCTGGTCTATGTCAAAGATGATGATGGGGAGAGGTTCGTGCACACTCTTCATGTTCGAAGTTCTCTACATGATCCTGGGCCAGTTGAGGGAGAGTTGGTAGCAGATGAGCCAGAAGGTCCTAGTCGGAGGGTTAGAGGCAAGTCTGCTGGTAGTGGGGATGTTGTGGCGGTCACGAAGCTATCGGTGGAACAAGAGGAAGCGCTCAAATCCCGTGCAGAAGCTCTCCTACAAGTATGGTCGCAGGAGGAGGCGGAGGCCATTGTGAAGGAGGTATGTGGGATCCTAGCCCCGTCGGAGAATGTTTATGGGATGTTTCGTTTTGGTGGAAAAACGGGCATTACAAGGGCTACGCTAGAGCGACCGTGGCTTGCGATGATCCTGTTGAAGTTGGTGGTGGACAAGGCTCCGGAGGCTGAGTTCGCGGCGGTCTTTGTCTCAGTCAACAACGAGACGGAAGTTCATATCGATCGCAATAATGCCTTTGGTACGCTTAACTACCTACTGCCACTTACAATGCCGAGGAGAGGTGGTGAGATTTGGCAAGAACTCAGACCAGGAGATGTTGTTCAAGGCAGAGTTCTGGAGCTTCAGTCACCTGATGGTCGCACCCGATATGGGTGCTCTTATCCTCTGCAGGAGGGAAGTGTGTTTCAGCTGAATCCACATCGTCGGCATGCTGTGCTACCATGGACAGGTGACAGATTGGTGATTGTGGGGTACACACCTGGAACTCTGCAGAATCTGACGGCAGTTGACAGACAGCACTTATGGTCTCTGGGTTTTCCTATGCCAATCTACGATGAAGGTACAGGAGCAATTATCAGCATTAATGCTTTCTCTTTGCAGCCTACAACTGGACTGGAGGATGTGGTTGTTGAGAGCGAGCCATCTAATCAGGATGACAGTACCATTGACCCCAAGGGTCCAGAAAGCACAATATCCTCATCAACTACGAGCGCTTGGACGTCAGGTAGCATGACGCAATGTGATACCGAAGTGTGGTCTCACTGGGATATGTGCTTGGTGCTGGATGGTGGTGAGCAGACAGCAATGTTGGCAAGCAGCATTGGTCAAGAATGTGTCAGGTGCGCAAAGGCAGAAGTTTCCTTTACTGATGGTGTGGAGGAGATCCTGGGAAGCCTGGATGGGCCGCTGAGTGTGGTCTATACAGTTAATCCCCGAGAGGTGGCCACTCACTTCGATAAATGGGTGCCTTCACTAAAAAAAGAGGTGGCATCTCTTGCGCATGCGGTCGACAAGGTCTGGAGCAATGATGTTCAGGTTCAGGAGGAGATATCGTCTGGGAGAGCACAGGTTATTCCTATGAAAGCAGTTTTTACTGTCAAGCCGCCAGATCCTCCTCAAGAAGGTGAGACGTTGAACTCCTTCTTCAAGCGCAAGTCAAGAATAGTAATATGCGGGAACTTAGCGTCTCATCAGCCTGGCGAAGTATATACTAATACAGCTCCTGCAGAACTGGTACGTGCAGCTCTGGCCCTAACCCAGATGTTCGGCTGGGATGTTGGCATACTGGATATAGTGGCGGCCTTCTTACAGACCCCGTTTGCTGCGCTGCCAGGAGCCCCGCTGGTCTATGGAGTACCCCCGAAGGTGTTGGTGAAAGCAGGACTATGTCAGCCAGGGGAGTTGTGGCGCCTCACACATGCAGTATATGGCCTACAAGAGTCACCGCGTCTATGGGGAATGTACCGGGACCTATGTCTAGCTCAGATCCAGATTGTGCATGAAGGCAAGAGAGTCACTCTATTGCAGGGAAGAGTTGAGCCGTCGTGGTGGTCAGTTCTTCAAGAAGGCTCTGTCCTAATTGGCATTCTGGTGGTATATGTCGATGACTTGTTGCTTTGTGGGCATCCTTCTATCATACAGGAGCTGGCTTCAGCAATAAAGGCCGTTTGGAGCACCAATGACCTACAGATGCTGTCTGACGGGACAATCAGATTCCTCGGTATCGAAATATCCAGGGGTTTGCATTGTCACAGAGATCATATATTGAAGAACTTGTACGTCTTCATAATCTGCCAGCCACAAGAAAAGATGTTGTGCCGGTGTCAAAAGAGCTCGCTACTTTTAGCACAATGCCAGAAGAAGGTGAGTATACAGAAGCTGAGCTGAAAGCGGCGCAACGATGCGCCGGGGAGCTGTTGTGGGTCTCGCAACGGACGAGACCTGATCTGGGGTATGTGGCGTCGCTAGTCGGATCCCTATCCACAAAAGCTCCAAGGCGTGCGGTTCAAATAGCCGAAAAGACCATCGCCTTCCTCCAACGCACGATCGATCAAGTGTTGGTTATGCAGTCCGATGGGTCCGGCCTTACCGGCTACTCTGATGCCAGCTTTGCTCCGGATGGTGAAAGAAGCCATTCGGGATGGATCCTATTCTTACACGGATGCGCTATATCGTGGAAGAGCTCAAGACAAAGCACCATAACGTTGAGTACCGCAGAAGCAGAGCTTACTGCGATCTCGGAGGCGGTCCTGGCGTACAAAGTGTGGCGGCAATGCTACATGATGTTCAAGCAGATGAGGTGGACATACACCTATTTACAGACTCGACGTCGGCTTTGTCAATTGCAAATGGGTCAGGAAGTTGGAGAACGCGTCATTTAAGATTGAGGAGCTCATGGGTGGCAGAGTTAGTGCAGGCTCAGAAGGTGACGATTACGCACCGCGTCGGTGAGCTACAGGTAGCTGATATTCTTACCAAGGCCCTTCCCTCTCAAAGAATGCGTACGCTTGGAAGACTGATGAATCTCCTGAACCCTGGCGAAGTCAATGAGGACGATGGCGCAAGGATCGCATACATCAGCAAGCAAAGCAGCAGCAGCAGAGCTAAAGCCCCTAACTCCTGCCCTAAGTTGTTAATTGCACTGTTGGTGTTGGCGCAAGCTACAACTGGACAGAGCCATACCTGGGACGAAGAGGAGCCGCTGGTAGTCCGAACGGGGATGAGCGTGGACTATGGCATTGTCACATGGGCTCTTTTGTGGGGGGCCTTAATCCTGGCACTAGTGTTTTGGGAGCTGCTGAAGTGGTTTGTTTGGCTGCTGTACGACAATGTGGCACCTGGGTCAAGATCCAGAAGACTGAGACGACTTCAAAAGTTGAGGGATGCTACAACTTCGGCGATCCAGCGTGAGATCGAGGTTAGAACTGGAGGCAGTCTGGAGCAGCGGGCTGCTGATAGCAAGCTTTCTCCGAATAAACAACCTCGAGTCCCACAAAGGGTCTCATCTACGGCAAGCTCGTCAAGGGAACCGCACACTATGACAGCAGAGGAGAAGGCCAATGAGAGGATTCAACTTCTGCGACAGCTAGCAGGAGAAAAAAGGGAAGTTCGTGAAGTGAGCTGTCAAACTGGCGTCTTCGAGCAGGTCGCCCCGAGAGACACCAGAGTTATCCTACGATATGTTCACGAGCCAGCAGGGGAAGTATTCATTGTGCCGCAGAATGAGTGCTACCACGTATACAACGACTGTCATGCTTTTAGACATCGTGGAACTGCTGACCGGGTTGAGTGTAGAAGGCTATGCCAATATTGTCTGAATAGGTCGGAAAATGACCCTGACAAGAGAGCGAACTATGGGGAGGATCTACAGCGAGCTCAGGAGTACGAACAACTGTTCAACGCACAGCTCCGCACATCTGGTCAATCGGTCAGAAATTGATCGTACCTTTCGGTGCGATAAAGGAGGAGTGTTGACGACCCGAGCTGCAGGCTGTGGAAATTAGCTTCAGATGTGCAGTGCATGTTTTTGTGTGGGCCCAAGGGAAGGCTACGGTAAGCCCCTTGAGTCATGCAGTCAATTCCAAACGAGTGTTAAGCACGGTCGTGGAAGACTGCCCTTCTCGGCAGAAGCCAGCACTCAACAAGTCACAGCTTTGGTTGCCGTGAAAAAAATCAATTCGTCCGATGCAGGTAGGTCCGCAATGGAAGCTGGCACCGTGAATCCTGTACATCAATTAGGGTAACTTTTCTTATAACCCCAATTAAGGGACTTATAACCCTACTTACTAAGTCCCATGATCCTTTAAATGGATACACTGCCCTGAACTGCATTCAGGCCCCTGTTCCAGGGTCGGGGAGGATGTCCCCAACCCCCGAAACTGGGTGTTGATAGGAAGCTACAACTGCTTTGAAATTTCCTTCTAGTGCTAGCAGAAAGCTGAGTTTTGTTGGGCCCATGGCACGAATGGTCAAGAAATCTTACGTTCTTGCCAGGAGGCCCAGGCGCTGGCAATGGAGTCGGCTGCCGCGGGCTGTGAACCTGCCACTTGCCCAGGAAGTGCATCAGGCCTTTGGGTTTAGGGTTTAGGGTTTAGGGTTTAGGGTTTAGGGTTTAGGGTTTAGGGTTTAGGGTTTAGGGTGATGCCGTCAAGCTTGAAATCTTCGCGAAACACCCAGATGTTTGGCATTGGGGTTCTCCACACCTTACGTAATTACTCCAAGTTCACGAGGACAATACCGTTCAAACATCCTGGCTTCTACACCCGAAGTCCACTACGAGGAACGTGGGCCTCTCATTGCAAGCCGCATCCAAGGACAAGTTCAAGAGTGCGTACCAGGCCCATCATGACAAGAAGACGGCTGCCGATGAGGTTCCTGAACCCTGGAGGTTAAGTGTTTCGGGGCAGGGCCCCTGAACCCTGAACCCTAAACCCTAAACCCTATAAACCCTAAACCTTAATCCCCACCATGCAAACCCTAGATCCCTGTAGCCTGAAGCCTGGCAGTCCGTGAGGTTTAGAGTTTCGGGGCAGGGCCCAGTGTTTTCGCGGTTTCTCGAAGGTCAGAGTGGGTATGGTGTCGCGTTTCGGGTTTAGGGTTTGAAGGATTTACGATATTGGTCGAAGCTAAAGCCCTAAGTCTTAAACGTTAAGACTAAGATGCCTGAAATCATGGGCCTCGTCATGGAGGCTCGGTTTTATGTGAGCCGGCTCCCCTTTTTCAACCTCCAATGCAACAGGGCTTCCTACGGCTAAACCCTGAATCCATGCCATTTCGGTTAAGGCCTTAATCCCGAGCAGTTTATGATTAAACCCTTATCCCTGAGCCCTTTTGATAGGGTTTCATGTTGGCTTACAGGGGATTAGAATAAACAAGCTTGAGTGATGAATAATATTCTATGCCTTGGGGCTCCTTGACATTATCGTTACAGTGAACTAATATGACCCCATGCATACCTTTTTCTAGTTATTAAGGCCATTGTTTTATGCAAAGGCTCTAGAACCCTGAACCCTAAACCCTAAACCGTGCCCTAAACCCTAAACCTTAAACCCTAAACTCTTAAAGGAGCCCCCAAGGGACTTAGGGTTCTAGAACGAGGTCCCCTTTAAATCTAACTCTTACATGTCTCTGATGGTCCTTGAGGCGCCGTTGAGGTTTAGGCTGTAGGATTGGGGTTAGGGTTCAGGGTTTAGGGTTTAGGGTTTAGGGTTTACGGTTTAGGGTTTAGGGTTTAGGGTTTAGGGTTTAGGGGTTGGGGTTAGGGTTTAGGGCTAGGGTTTAGGGCTAAAAGGGTGCAGGGTTTAGGCACAAAAGACCTTCATACCACCATGAACCGTATTTAGTCTTCAACATCCCTTCTGAAACCATGAACCCCCTAGAGAAGGCCACTACTTACCAATCCATGTTTCGGTTTCTGGCGAGGTTTTTTGTGTTACGGGGCTTCGGTTTCGGGTCAAGGGGTTCTAGGTTTAGGGTTTAGGGTCAAGGTTTCAAGTTGCTTTTCGAGTTTAGGCGTTAAAGCCCAAGCCCCGCACCCCACGGTCCAAGGCGCCACAGGCCTCAGACACACAGAAAGTCCCAACATCAAACCCTAAGATTCAACCTCCCAGACCCTAACGTCTGGCGGGTTTAGGGTTTAGGGTTTAGGGTTTAGGGTTTAGGGTTTAGGGTTTAGGGTTTAGGGTTTCGGGTTCGGGTCCAGATGCCTCAAACCCCAGCCCAAATCAGAACCGACTCCAGGCAATCCGGGCCTCCTTCAACATGCAAGCTTATCGCTATGCGGACGATGGTAAGTACTACACGGCCTCCCAGCCGCTTGGCCCGTTGATAGGCTGTTGCTTTCACGTAGAGTACTGAAAGACTAGTGCCTATAGACTTTAAAGAGTTGAGCAGTTCGTTGTTTGGGCATTGAAGCAAAGACGAAAGTGGTTGTTCAGATGTTTAGGGTTTAGGGTTCCCTAAACCCTAAACCCTATTGCTTTCTCCAGGGTTCAGGTCGGCAACTGAGGCCTTGGGTTTTGCGCCGGAGGGTGCTCCGACCCGCAGCTTTCGCACCCTTGTGTGCGGATCTTTTGAACCCCTACCTAGAGTCTCCATCGCAGTTCCTTTTTTTGGTTTAACCAATGATATATTAAGGATTTTATATGGTATCCCCAAAAAGGACCTACAATGGAGACTATAGGTAAACCCTAAATCGCGAACACTGAATGAGGAAGCTCACGTCAATTCCTATTCTTGTAGCAGATGCTTTGGCAAGGAAGCCTTAAACCCCAAACCCCAAGACCCTAACCCAGCCCCCACGGGAACTGCAGGCCGCATCATCAGGTTGTGAGTTTATAGGGCTGAGGGTTCAGTTTAGGCTAAAGCTTTATGGTTAAGGTGTGTGATAGTCAGGTTGCAAGGAGACGGCAGGTGGTAGGAGCCGCGGGAGGGTAGGGTGTAGGGCTGCTGTGGAAACTCAGACTGCAGCAAAAAGCACTGAGGAATGGGAAAACCTTATTAAGTATCATACACAGGACAGCCGATAACATTAAACATTTTTGTGTGCGAAAACAAGATTTAGTACTAGCAGGTGGTTTTGATTCAGCAGCAGGAGCAGGAGCAGGAGCAGGAGCAGGAGCAGGAGCAGGACCAGGAGCAGGAGCAGGAGCAGGAGCAGGAGCAGGAGCAGGAGCAGGAGCAGGAGCAGGAGCAGGAGCAGGAGCAGGAGCAGTCCGTGTTCCTGCATGCTGTTGACTGCTAACGGTTTCGCCCCCCGGGTGTTCATTTCCATTTAATCTTATATGAAACGGCAAAAGCACAGTCCTCCGAACTGTTTCCTGTTTGCGCGATGGTTTAAGCGACAGGTGCTTGGTGGTGGGGGGGGGGGGTGGGTTGGGTGGTAGTAGCAGTAGTAACAGTAAGTAGTATAGTAGTACTAGTAGTAGTAGTAGTAGTAGTAGTAGTAGTAGTAGTAGTCGTAGTAGTCGTAGTAGTCGTAGTAGTTGTAGTCGTCGTCGTCGTAGTAGTAGTAGTAGGTCTAGCAATAGTAGTAGTACTACTAGTAGTAGTAAGTAGTAGTAGTCATTCATTCATGACCGCTGCACCGGGTCTGATGCAAAACGAGGACTGGCGTTCAACGCCCGGCAACTTGAAGTTGCATAGCCATTGCCATTCCCACGGATAACTACCTGTAGTCTCCATTGTAGTTCCTTTTTGGGGATACCTTATAAAACCCTTAATATATAATTGGTTAAACCAAAAAAAGGAACTACAATGGAGACTATAGGTAGGTTCCTAATCCATTGATCAAGATCGTGGCCCAACAAACAATCCACAGCCTCATGCTGATCATCGCTGGTGTGAATCACTGGAGGAGCAACGTCACTCGAAACCGCATCCTCTCGAGCGCGCAGCATCGCCGGAACAGGTAACCGCTGACACAGGCGCTGAATGCGAGCTCACCGCCGCATCTGCCATCATTGGAGACATCGTGGTAGTCCCGGTAGGCGCGGTAGTCCATGCTGTTGCCCCGGAGCTAGCATTGAGGGCCATCACTGCTGCACGTAGCCGATTGCAGCGATGACAGCAACAGTGGCGATGGGCTGTACATGTTTACGAACTCGATATGGATGTTGACGGTGCGCGGGTGTCGACGTAGAGAATGTTGTGCCGGATGACGTGGATGTGCACAACGAGGTCGTCGACGAAGTGGACGTGGAAGAGTTGGTTGTCAACGATGTGGCATGCTGGAGGAAGTCGTCGTAGGTTGTGGATGTTGAGGTTGATGAAGTGGTGCGGGTGGACGTGAATGTCAAGGAAGATGTGCTAGAGCATGTTGACGGTGCGCTGGAAGATGATGCTGGACGTCGTTGACGTAGACGATGTCGGTATAGAGCTGGTACATGTGGTCAAACTCGATAGATGTTGCAGATGCGCTTGACGAGGATGTTGATGTGCACCATGTCGATGTGGAACTGGTGCATGTTTTGTCGTGCTCGATGTGGAGGTGAAGGATGCGCTTGACAAGGGTGGTGGTGTAGACGACGCGGATGTGGAACGTATATGTAGTCAAGTTCGATGTGGATGTTGGGGACGCGCTTGGTAAGGGTGTTGATGTAGGAGATGCCGGTGTACAACTGGTACATGTAGTCGAACTCGATGTGGAAGTGGAAGATGGTCTAAGTGTTTCTGGTAGAAGGAGTCGTGCTGATCCTCGTAGATGTTGAAGAAGTCGAGGTGCTTGTTGTTGAGCTTGAAGTTGATGTCGTGCCTGCGGACGAGGTCCTCGTGCTTGTGGTAGAACGTGAGCTCGTAGAGGAAGATCGGAAAGACGTTGACGAGCCGGATGTTGTGCCTTGGATGACGTGGATGAAATGCTGGTTGACGTGGTTGACGTCGTACTGGTACTGGTACATGAGCAGGTTGAAGACATAGAGCTGGACGAGGTTGAAGTCGATGATGCGGGGCTTGTTCACGTGCTGGAGCTTGTGGTGCCGCTGCATGATGTGCTTCTGCTACGCCTTGTCGTGCTTGAGGTCGATGATGTAGTGCAGTTAGCAGTAGGAGTACCAGTAGTAGTAGTAGTAGTAGTAGTAGTAGTAGTAGCAGTAGTAGTTTTAAGTAGTAGTAGTAGTAGTAGTAGTAGTAGTCGTAGTAGTAGCAGTAGTAGTAGTAGTAGTAGTAGTAGCAGTAGTAGTAGTCGTCGTAGTAGTAGCGTCTTTAGTTGTCGCGTAGCTGAAACCATACTGTCACCAGATACCCTTGAATGTGCTTGCGTACCTACGTTCGTACATAGGTCTGTATGTACGTAAGCAAATAAGTATGTGTGTAAGTATGTGTGCATGTATGTATGAGAAGCCAGATGGGGTTTAGGTTTTAGCAAATGTTTTCTTTGCTGGGACTTGGCTACTTGAAATCGGGATCATCGCCGAGAAGCCCGTGCAATCTGGCCTCCGAGCACAGGTTCAAGGGGCACTACGGGGACGATTGGGTCGCCAAGTGGACGGCAAGCCCAGTGGCACAGAAGGTCGGCTGCAGTTTAAACTTGAGGGCTTGGCTTCGAAAAGCACAAGCCGCGACGCCGCGAATTAGCAATCTGAAGCCTAATCTCCAAGTCTCCTGCGGTAAACTGGAAAGCATGAACCTCTCAGGAGCCCTGAACCCTCCAGGCTGCAGCCCGAAGTGGGTGAATGCACTTTGTCATAAAGGAACCCATGCAGATCAAACGTTGGTAACCTATTGCAGTTTATGTTGGTTGAAAGCCGAGGCCATGAGCGCTAGCTGCATTCAGCGATGACATTGCGTAGCCTTGCGTAAGGAGAAGAACCACGTATCTGTGGATTCAAACTATGTGGCACATCCTTCGATAATCTAATGTGGATTTAGTGCATTGTGCAGCACAACACATATGACACATGCCTGTATTCCAAGCCAGTGGGCGCAAACAACACACAAACACAAACAAACGCAGACACAGACACAGACACAGACACAGACACAGACACAGACACAGACACAGACACACACACAGACACAGACACACACACAGACACAGACACACACACAGA